AAGACACCAGAAGTGTTGCAACAGAATGGCGATTTTTGTAGAGTTTCAACATCATCACTTGATAAGACACCAGAAGTGTTGAAACAAAATGGCTATTATTGTCGGGAATTTATAACATGTTTATGTTATAATTATATAACTAGTATTTTTAGTTATTGGATTTTATTCCGTATACACCAATCCCATACAAACATATACACATGCATGTTTGTATGTATCTATCTGTACACGTGAATCTAAAATTTATGTGTGTTACGCCGAACCAATACGTCACAAGTAATAGTCTCTTCGATTTTGATCACGAGGAAAGTTTGAAAAGACAATATTTAGTATCAATAAGATAAAGAAATAATGAATCGTTTCATTTCTAGCCTCTTACTTGCAATCATAATTATGATTGTTATTGCGGTTTTTTTACAAAAGTTGTTAAATCCAGGTATTTTAAAATGCAGTACGGTAATTTTTCAGAGGTATTTAATAATTTTGTGAACACTTTGGGAGCTTATTCGATTATAAATTTAATATTTAGTAAAACCGTGAAATAGTCATGACTACTATTATCTTCATCATAATAAGACTTTTTAATTAAATTAGATAATTACGTACTCTTTGACTCATGTAAAAAAATGAGTTCATTTGCTAGACAATGTTAATAATGAGATACAATGAATCAAGAGACTTGAAACGATATACTAAAACTCAACAGTGAAAAGATGAAGTATTTACAACTAAAATAGAGGTAAATGGACCGTTCAATTATAATTTTTAAAGATTCAATGATTTCTATGATTCATTGATTACTCTTGGTTTGATATAATTCGTTTTCTACTCAATATCTTTTCATATTAAAAAAAAATCTATGTTTAATATAACTGTGAAATATCTCTCAGTTTTTAAAAAATAAATGAGTAAAAACGGCGACGGCAAAGCCTATTTCAAGAAAAAAGTTGAAGCGCAACGATCACTTAATTGAATAAATGTATCAGTGTCCCACATGAAAGGTTTGAACAAATAAAACTGCAAATGAAGAAACGTTGTATTAAAGGAATTGATTAATTATAGGGTTCATTTTGCACGGCAACTATTTTTTGTCTAAAAGGAGATAAATATTTTATTTGCATATATTATTAAAATGACTAACGGAGATACTCATATATGTACAGATGTACAGGATATTTATAAAAACATACAGATAAGTAAATACACATTGATACTTATTATTGGTCATTAGCGGCAGTAGTTAGATTAGTCCATTCAAGAAAAAAAAAATGAGAAATACGTTTTGTAGGTTAGCGTGAATTAGACCATCTTGAAGACGCATTTTTCAGAATCGAAAGATATTTATTATTCAGGAATAATGGAATGCTGCTATTATTAAATCTATAATAAGAACAAGTATTATTAAGTGTTCATATAACTGTGTATGATTATTAATGAATTTATGACCTGAAAATTAATTAACGATTTTCCTCATAAATATTAAATATTGCAATAGCGTTTTCCATGATAAAAAAGCCTTCAGATGTTTACACCACAAAAAAAAACAAAGAAAAAAGAAAACCATCAAAACAAAAAACAAAAAAAACAAAAAGAAAATACGAAAAAAAAAAGAAAAAAAGCGATTAGTTTTAACTGCACAAAATGATCCCGGAAAAGATAATGGGACATATTTACCATCGAGAGAATCGTAGATATATTTGGAAGGCAAATTTGTTTCAAATATATCTCCATTCTTGAAAAAAATGCTACTTTCCCAAGCCAACATGCTTGACAATAAAAATGTAAAAAAAAAAAAAGAAAAAGAAAAGAAACGCTTACATTCAAAACCTTCTAGTATTTAAAATACATAATACTTAAATTAATCCACGACTAAAATAATATAAATAGAAAACGAAGCATACTTGATGCTTATAAAATGTATGACTTATACTGCGATATTTGTTCTTTTATTTATAGACGCTAATAAACAAAAACAAAAATATATAAAAATTTCCCAGAGAGTTCATAAATATTTTCAAAATGGTCGTGAAAGCTACAAATTCCATGACTTCATGACGTTCTTGGTACAATGCACAACATATACTACCCACTGACCTTCCCAGACCAATGAAAAATTATTTGGCGGCCCACCTTTTCTCTAAGTAACATACGACAAGTTCGTCTGAATTTCATGGTAAAATGAACAATGTGTAATCGTTAAACTTACCTACACCTGTAAAAGAAAAGGGAATCGTCACCTTCTCCACACCCTCATGGTTTGAATTTAAATGAATCCCTCTCATATATTGGCTACAGGCTAAAACTAGATACGACTGTCAAATTTGCTCTTTGCGCGTTAACTGGAAGATGATGATGAGAGAGATTCCCGCCTTTTGTAACGTAAAAAAAAAATAATGTCCTTTCGTTAAGATAACAGATTTCGTCCCAGAAACCTTAGGTTAATCGCACAGTCAAAAATGTGGGTATGCATCGACGGAGAGAAATATTATTGCCATAATGCTACACGTATTAAAAGAGAAAGTATCTTAGACGGAAAGTTCTTGAGAATATTGCTATCAAACCTTATCAACCGGGTGTTTTCAAATACCTCGGTTCCTGAAAGAATTACCTCTATCTTCAGCCAATACATATAACAATAAAAATGTAAAAATAATTAAGAGAAAACGGTAAATTTTCATAAATCATAACCTTATGTTATTTAGAATGCATCATACTTGAATTAATCCCAAACTAAAATTATATAAATATTAATTAGACTATAAAAAATTCAACATTTACGGAGTTTTGTTTGTTCGACATTAAATTACATCACTTAGCGTCCTCCATAGTTTAATTCGATGTTTCAGTTAGCCTGATTAATATTTATGAGAGTTCTTAACTTTTTAAAACTATTAGCATATTTAGTTTTGTTTATAAATACTTATTGCAAAATAAAATCCTTACAATTGCTTTGATGAAGACCATCAGAGGACTACGTCGGCTACGATAAGTTTTTCTTTTGTCTTTATTTATTTTGCTCTTTTATACATACACTTTTATTTATAACTTAAATATGATATGCACACACACACACAAACACACACACACACACACACACACATACACACACACACACACATACACCCACACCCACATACATACATGCGCGTTGTTTGTTTTTGATTTTGTCGACTGCACAGTAGAGAATGGTCAGTTGGGCACCGTCGGTGAGAAAAAGAGCACCATGATGCAATTCATTCCGTCAGAAGTCTGGAAATGGCATGCTGTACTCCTTGGCATTTGCGCCGGAAATTCCAATACGAACTGGGTGACAATCTGAGAACAGTGCAGAAGAATCGGAAAGGGTTGGATGATATATCAAGTCAACATCATGTTATTTGGAGTGATTACTAGTGATGGTGCAGTTATGCCTCCATAATGGAGTCGTCTGCAGGCCGTGGTTGAAGTCAATGGCGATTTTATTGAACGAATTTGTTCCTTACGATTTCAAGATAATTTTTGTTGCATTTTGGTAAATATTGCGTTGGTGCATAATTATCAGGCGTTTTGTAGGTGAGTTATTTGTTAATAAAATTTGCTGTTTTGTTTATTTTTTAATAAAAATATTATTTTTATTTTCAGTTTATAAAAATGTTATTGTTGAATTGTTGTTTTTTTTTCATAATAAATAATGTTTAAAGAAAACGCCTGATACTTTGGCATCAACCCAATATATTTGATAATGTCAGTGTTATTTACATTTTTACGCAATTTAGTCGACAATCCCACCCTCTCTCTCTCTCTCTCTCTCTCTCTCTCTCTATCTATCTATCTATCTATATATATATATATATATATATATATATATATATATATATGAGGGGTTATACTAGTTCCAACGAGAGGAAAGTATGTACATTAAAAAGAAGAGAGAAGCCGCAAATGTTTTTGGTTGTAATGTGGATTTAAAAAAAAAAATATTAGTCTTTATTTTCCATAATTTTGCTACACGAGTTTCCGGTCTCGCGACCGTCATCAGGTAAAGGGTAGAGATTTTCACATATTATTAAAAAGAAAGAAAAACATCGGGTTACTAACACAAAAAAAGAAAATGTCTCATATCGAGAATATTTAACATTGAAAAACGGAAAGGAAAAAAAAAAATTATTTTCAATAATATGTGAAAATCTCCACTCTTTGCCTGATGACGATCACGAGACCAGAAACTCGTGTAGCAAAATTATGGAAAATAAAGCATAATATTTAAAAAAAATCTAAATTACAACCAAAAACTTTTGCGGTTTTTCTCTTCTTTATATATATATATATATATATATATATATATATATATATATATATATATATATATATATATATATATATATATATATATATATATATATCCGCTATATTTGGGAATAGCATTAAATATCTGGGATATAGCGTTTGTGGATATAAAAAATGGGTCATAAAAATGGTGCATTGCGATTAGCAGTTTCATTCTTTTAATAATCATCCACATTAAATGGTAATGAAGATGAGGATAACAGTTCGAATAACGTAAATAATGCAAGTAATTATGATACTTCATCTCAGAGATATAGGCAGAAATTTGGTCATCTGTTAAAAAATTAAAAAGATAAAACGAAAATAAACCAAAGATTTTAACGTAGGTCCTTCTGCGATTTTTACATTTAAATGTAGTACAAATCTTAAGAATTTTTTTCTTAAAGGCAATTATACATTGTTTTCTTACATTTGATAGTCAGTCCTTTCTTCCATTTTTCTTTTATTACGGTGCGTAGGAGCTCATATAGATTGTTTTCTCTGTCTGCTATCAACACAGTATATGTCATTTACTAGCCTTAGAAAAAATTCAGAATCAATGAATTGACAAAAGCAAATATTTCTCGGCATTTACCAACATGATTTCTCTTTTTGTTCGATAAAAAAAATCATCACAATCCAACAAGGTATATTACTGTCAATGCAAAATTTATACGTAACGAGAATTCAAATCGATGACAATCGTTGTTCGATCCCTGACAGATTTCATATCATCAAAGACAGCATCTACAGAAGGAGTCGTGACCGAATTCGTTTTTGTTTGTTTGTTATGCTGATCAGAAGGAAACTTTTGCCGAGTGATTTAAATCATTGACATGGCATATGCAGCCATCTTGGAATGAACTAAGCAAATATGAATTTGGTGCAAATGTTCGATAGGGGAAAAAAATTAAGTTTGCTATGGTTTTTTATTGTTTCTCTCTGTAATTTAAGAACTTTTTCCAGAAAGACAACAGGTTTTACGTACATTCAGTACTGTTTAATCTTTATATTGGGGAAAATAAAGTGAGAATGTTGTGAAGGAGACACTAAAAAGGGATTTATGTGGAAAAGTTGGAGTCGAAATTTTACCAGCATTCGTTCTCACTTTCTGTCATTCTATTCACACACACACACACACACACACACACACACACACACACACACACACACACACACACACACACAACCGAGGAATTTTCATCTGGAATTTTCTGTTCGAAAACCAATTTGTTCGATATGTGAGACGTTCGAGAACCGAGGTTGCACTATATATATATATATATATATATATATATATGTGTGTGTGTGTGTGTGTGTGTGTGTGTGTGTGTGTGTGTGTGTGTACGTACAGGTATTTAGAAAATAGGAATGAACACGTTAGGTAAATAATCCGGAGTTCTTTAGTATTTTTGTTTTTATTTTTAAAAAAGCAGTGATCCATACAGAAGTGGTGCTTAAATTATAATTATTTTTTAAAAAATATGATTCCTTCGCTACATAAGAGTTCTCATGTTTCAAACACGAGAGCCGAAAACCTCAATATAATTATTAAAATTAAATTGAATTAAGGTATCAAGCCACGTTTCATCCTCAAGCGAAAATTTAAAATTTAGGAATCTTAAATTTTAAATTTTCGCTTGAGGATGAGACGGCTTGATACCTTAGTGTTTCGGCTCTCGTTTTTTTAAACATGCGAACTCTTATGTAATGAAGGAATCATATTTTTTTTAAAATAATTATATATATTTATATATATATATATATATATATATATATATATATATATATATATTTTACTCAAAAGTTATTTTCTGCTACCGTCGTATCGAGGAGATTTTTTTTTAAATACAGACAATTTAGGCTTCTACACGTAATTCATACTCATTGAAAAAAAAAAATGGCTAGTATATGGTACATGTCTATTTGCGTTTAGACATATTTTCATATGTATATATATTGCGTTGAGACACGATTTAGCTCTCTCGTATTCCATAGGAACGATAGTGGACATAATTTTCATTTTACTAATGCCACCCTAATTAAAAAAAATAGAAAACATAAATATTTATGGAGAAAATGCCTTGAAAACTTAATAATAACATTATTACCCACTACAAACACACGCCTAAAACATTACATTACATAGTCATTTTTTGCATCCATTCTTAAACAGTTTAACTTATATCTATCTAATACACTGAGTACGTCCATAACAAAGAATCGAGTCTCATATTCGAGCGGAATACCAACCTACTGTGCTGACTGACCACACAACAATGAAGACATTAGAGCTCCAACAACTAGACAGACACACATACAGAATTACAAACAGATATTGCCACCCGATGCCCGCTTAGACATACAGTAATCTTTACAAGCTTACATATATAGAGAATTGTCTATGGTTTTAATGCGCGCAATACATGAGTGACCAATATGAATTGACCCAAACAAAATTAAAAGTAACCAAATTCTGTCTTCTTGTCTGCTTTTTCTCAATTTCTGACGAAGCTTTAATAAAATGAAACATGTTAGATTGATAAACGCTTTCTATTTGTTCTTTATATCATCATCCATTCGGATTCCGCGATCTATATTTCATTTGCATTTTAACTTATATTTATATATATATATATATATATATATATATATATATATATATATATATATATATATATATATACCTATGAATGATGCCAGATTATTTATATGTGAATATGGATACATGTAGGAATATAAGACACAATTTTCAGAATAATAGGTTAAATACAACTAATTTAAAGGCGAATTATACAAAATAGGAAAGAAACATATATATATGTTAAGAAATGGACAAGGTCCGACAATTTATTTATTAAAGACATTTTTATGTTTAACGTTGTTATTTATAGATACAAGTATTTTAGCAAATGCTCTGTTTATGATAAACAGTATTAAATAACATTTACCGGCCTGAATGTCCGAGAAATTTTCATAGAAAATATTCGTTCTTTGACAGGATTCAAAGCTGCATCCTATACGGAACCGTCATATACGCTGACGTGCCTTGACCGCTCGGCCACAAAGAACCTTACGTTTATCATAAACAGAGCATTTGCTTAAATACTTGTATCTATAAATAACAACATTAAACATAAAAATGTCTTTAATAAATATATATATATATATAAGGAAAAAAGACAAAAGGAAAAAATTATCTTAGCTGTCGCGTTTCGTCCTCTGATGGACTTCATTAAGATAACTGTGAGGATTTTATTTTGCAGTAAGTATTTATAAACAAAAGTAAAAATGTTAGTTTTTCAAATTGTTTAAATTTAAGAGAGCCTTAAAAATATTCATCAGGTTAACTGAAATGAGAGGTTTGGATAAATTATTAAGGATACTAAGTGACATAATTTAATGTTTAATAAACCAAAGTGTGTAAATTTTTTTCTGTAATTAGTATTTAAATTATTTTCTTATGGGATAAATTGATATCTATATAAAAAAAATTAAACAAAATAAAATCCTCACACTTTATAAAGTCCATCAGAGACCAACACGCGTTGGCTAAGATACGTTTTTCTTTTTCCTTTATTCATTTTGTCATTTTATGGATATATTGGAGTATTTACTTTAGGAGAGGTTTTTCTGTGATTACAAGCTATCATAAGTCCATTCCTTTTGTTAAGTAGGTTTCGGTCATTTATCTTTTTGAGGATATATATATATATATATATATATATATATATAGATAGATAGATAGATATTGATAATAATAGTGGTAAATATACACATACATATGGAAAATATATAAATATATATACATACATGCATACACATAGATATATAATTTTTGAATAAAAAAAATTCCAAGAGGATAGAATCCAGGTAGAACTCAATGTCCAGGACAGAGTATATAATAAAAAAGGCTTAAACACTAATATACCATGGAATATTAGTGTTTAAGCCTTTATATATATATATATATATATATATATATATATATATATATATATATATTTTCAGTCATTAATATTTTTAAGGATGAATCTTTTATCCAGAAAACACAGGTTGCATCGGTCGCCGCGACCGGAAAATTGTGTAGATTTGGCGACGGAATGGTGAGCGATAGAGAAAGATTAACGCAAATCTAAAATGTAAAAAAAAAAAAAAAGTGCTGACTCATAAATTGTATTTCCCCGCCTTTCCGCGAATAATGGCTACTTGATGTGTTATGATATCTAGAGTCATTGCATGGTTAAATCTATACAATAATGTTTTCCGGCTACAAGTGACATGTGTTTCTTTAATGTGACTAGATGGGATTTCATGTGTTCCGCATTGTAGTCACGTAAACACTCAATGGAGTTTAAATCTCAGGAACATGAGGGTCAATGGATAATATTACAAGAGCTGACAATAATGATTTACGCAGCTCAAAAAAAGAATTTTGCGATTAAAAATACAATAGGCATTCAGAAAATAGAATCGAAAAAAGATGAACTTGACGAAATTTGAAGCCAAATGCAGCATTAAATGAACAAAGAAATCAAGAGATATTAAAAAAAAAAAGAAAAACTAGACACTGATCTATTAATTTGTTTGTAAGACTCATTTAAATGGCGAATATATGTTTTCAAACAAAGACTTGACTAACGATTTTCAGGCATGACTACGTCAGTCTAATATTGCAAGTACGATGCAGTCACACGTTATTGTGTCAGAGCCTGAAATTCCACGCCATATACTTCGTATTGTCCTTTTAAAATATTACCACATTTTGTCCCACATTCAAGTTGAACATAATATGGCTGATGCTAACCTCAAGAAGCTTCATAGGCTAATATTTTGCACTGACATGGATATATTGAATCATTTGCTAGGTCTGCTGTTAGGAAATTTGGTTTACTGTGTCGTGCTAGATAATTTTTCTCGACAGAACCTACCTTACATATAAGTCTACCTTGTTTTGAATATAGCTGCCATGTCTGGTCTGGTACTCCTGCTATATATTTAGAAAATTCTAAAAAAAGAAACTGTAACGTAGATTCCCTGTGAGTTTTTTTTATATAAATATTTTAATGGACAATGTTATGATGAATTTTTCTCTATGGTACCTAGACTCTATCAATTTAAGCTCAATACTAGGTTGACGGCTAGGTCTCGTCATTTTACACTTGAAATGGCGAGATGTAACCGTAATTCTATGCTAACAGTTTTGTCTATCGTACTTCTTGCTTTTGAACTCCCTTCCGGTTTCTTGCTTTCCAGTCAACTTTGATCTTCTAAAATATGGATGCAATGTCAATCGTTATCTTCTGTCTTCTTAATTCTTGTTATTTTATTGTTCCCTCTCTTTGATATATTTTTCCTCGTATTATCTAGTACTCAGTAACCTCTTTGCGTGTGAGTGGCTTTATTGTCTTGCATGTGATGAAAAAGAAAAATAACTAAGTTTCTCAAAGAAACGTAGGAAACAATCTGTTGCTAAGAAAAGGGTTTGTTAGTTCTCTCGCCCTAAACGAAACTGCTGCTTTTAATCGCTTTAGTGAATCTTGTTTTTTTTTTTTTGTCTTTCATTAACATTGCTAATGCTCACTCCCAGGAAATTATTACATTTCAGCTTTCCGGTCTAATGTTTTCCACTGATAGAAATTGGAACGTGTATATAGAGTCAAATCCTAACTTTTCTTTTAAGAAAGGTAGTTCACTATGTCGTGTTAGACAATAAAATTGTCACCCAAATCTGACTTGCAAGTTTATAATTTTACCATCCGACCGTGTATTGAATGTT